AGCTGGTAGCCAAAGCTAATTTCCTTTGTTTTCTTTCTCAGCTCTTCCCTGGAGGTGGGTGAAAGGGTTTGAGGGTACCCCACGGGGAGGAATTCCCAAGTGCTCCTTCCTGGGCTCAAAGGAGTTTGGTTTTTTTGCATTTGGGTGGTGGCAGCACTTACCAAGCCAAGGTCAGAGAAAAGCTGTAACCTTGGGAGTGTAATAGAAGCCTGGAGCGGCAAGTATTAATTTTTAAAATCCTTGCAGGCCCCCACTTTTGCACTCGGAGTGACAGAGTGGGGATTCAGCTTTGACAGGGGTTCATTTCAGAAGAGATGTAATTAAGCACTAATGGAACCATAATAGTGAAATATGGAGTCTCATTTTAAAAATCAGAAAGTGGAAGTGTAAATAAGAGAAAAGAGAGTGATTCCATAGGTCACTCCTTACAGGGTCTTACATTTCCACTTACAAAGAAAGGCAATTAAAGTCTGTGGATACAGAAAAAAAAACATACTGCAGTATAGATCTTTCCTGAATTATATTAATATGAAGTGGTATTTTATATGGAAACATACTGCATTAATGCTTCTTATTCTGGAATCATACACATGCACACAAGCCAGTCGGCATACCCACTGAAACAGCACTTTGATTTGTATTAAGTGTGCTACACATTCTGGCTTTCAAAAGGGATTAGATACTATGTTCAGAGATTAACATTTTCTTCAGTTTTCATGTAATTGTGGTATACTCTAGGCAGGGCTGATAGCACTGTATATTATTAAGGTTGCCCAACATTTCCCATTATAAGAACCTGTTTTCAATTGGTTCAAGTATGGCCAAGTTATATGCATTTGGGCTGAAATTTTCCATTCCTGGTGTCTGCCTCAGGCTGATTTTTTTTTCTTTTTTAAATTTTAACCAAAGGGGTTCAGCAATTTCCAAGAAAGAAATATGCATAAATATGTGGTTTGCCCATGTTAAAATATTCTAGACACTTTTTCTTTTAAAAGCTCTAGCACCTCCATGCTTTGGAGTAGGGTCTTGAAATTTTGCAGCGGGCAACCTTTGTTTCACAGATGTGACTTTTGTTGTCCCTTGGAAACTCCATCCTAATTTGTCCAAATTCTAATCCTTGAAGAACTGCAGATCAAACATGCTCAGTAGAGGGTTCTTAGATTTTAGCAGTTTTCTCAAAGATTCTCTGTGCACTGGTCATGTTCCAAGCCACAGCTGAACAGGGTTTTGTCTGCAATTGCAGTTCAGGGCTGCTATGGGCTGTTCTTAGTCCAGGCATCTAAACAGAGAGACTTTCTCTCCTGTGCTTTCCATGACCCCCTATCTGCCACTAGGCCCAGGCTGCACGGAGGAGGAATCCATCTAACTCTCATGCAGAGGGAATGGAAAGGAACACATTGGGACAAGAAGCTTGGGGGTAGGGAACTAGGACTGTGAATTAAGGTGAAAGGGGAGACTGTGGAGGGTTTGGAAAAGACACTGGGAGAAGGGTGGGAAATGTGGGAGACTGAAATCAGATGAGGAGTCAGGCAGTAGACTCACACTGGCTGGCTACGACGACTAGGACCAATGTGTAGGGGGGAGGAGGTGATGAAGGAGAGGAGAGAGATCTGGCTGGAAGCCAGGATGAGGGGAGAGAACTGAGAGGGGACACTGAGATTGGACAAAAAGCCTGGAAGGAAGATTGGCACTGGGAACATGGGAGCTAAGAGGGGTGTGACTGGAGGCCAGGGTAAGGAAGAGAGAGACTGGAAGAGACGCCAGGAGAGGACAACTTGGACTGGCTGGGTAAGGAGATGGGGGTTAGGAGGAGGGATGAACTAGGAATAGATACACAAGAAAACTGGGAATTGGGGACAGACTAATAAGGGGATCAGAAGTCCACAGGGGTAAAACTAGCACTACCTGAGCAAGGAAACCAGGATTGGGATGAGCAGCCTGAGGAGTGGAGACTGGAACTGGGTAGTTGAGAAGTATGGAACTGGACAAGGAGGCCGGGATGGGTAAGAGACAGGACTGGGACAAGTCTGAGGGGATGGGGCAGAATGTGTCACACTTGGGGCACGTGCACAGAAGAGTCTGTACCTGCTAGAGCACACTCCCTCCAACAGAAAGGAACCTATAATTTCCGAGTCTCACCATCCTCTGCTGTGAATATCTCTGAAACCACTAGCAAAGGGTCTCCTCCCCCCTTGGAGTTGGTCCACACAGAGGATAACAATCCACTATTGCTATCAGTTATTCCATTAGCTCATGCGTCAGAGGTCTATGCAGTGGGTCTAAGGGTTCCTTTCCTGTTGATGAACCATGTGAGAGTGTCAATATGATCCCACATGATGGTATTTCAGGGTGTGTGGTTTTTTCCGTTTCCATTTTAAAAAACCTAGGAAATTACACACAAAAACAAGATTAAAAGAATATTATTAAGGCTGCAAAGCCAAGCACTAAAAAATTAGGAATTCCAAATTAAGGATGCCTGTGGAACCTTAATTCGGCTGCCGGGGACATTACAATAAAGTCTCTAACTCTCACACACTATTTTTTCATAGGACCTTTGCCTCATTCAGTGCACAGAATGGACAGTGTTCACTTAATGAGGAGATTTTTTTTTCACCTCATTGTTCAGTGTGCCCTCTTTACTGCAAAACAAAACAATCTAAACCCTCCTCTGAAAACAGAATTATTAGTTTCCTTCTGAGTTTCAATGGCGCTTGTCACTGTCGCGTCTGAGTGCTTCACAAATATTAATTAAATAATTTTCACAATACACTTGTGAGATGAGTTGGGGGCATTATCCCTCTTTTACAGATGGAGTAATGAGGCCCGGGAAGATTAAGATCAAAAGTGTTCACTAACTTTAGGTTCCAAATTTCAGTGGCCTAAGACCTCCTTTTATAGGAGTTCTTACCATTATATCGTGTTAGGGGGCTTATTCCTTCACCCACTTACTTCCCTGGTCCTTCTCGCATGAACAGAGAACAACAATACCCAAAGTCCAATGGTGCAAACAATTCAATGTTTATTGGGGTGAACTTCCAGCAAGCGTGATTCCAGTTTCCTTCCTTAGTGTCCCCCTTCCCAGCTCTGACACCACAGAGCCTTACCTGTGGCCCTGTTCTCATTTCTGCCCTTAGCTAAACATGATTCCAATTTCCCCACCCCCATTCCCTGTTCCCATTTCCCCCACACACACACACTTCCTGATTGACTGCAGACTATATAGTAAAACTTGAGTTCTGCTTAGCTATACCTTAACCTATCATTTTACTGAAATTTAACTAACCAATCCTAACATACTGTAACATGATTATTTAACCAATTATATCCCACCACCTTAATTAGTTTACACCCAGCAAAATTAATTACACAGCAGACAGGAACAATCACAGAACCAGACAGAGATTATACAGACAAACAATAGCAAAGTGGGAACTATAATGACAAAACAATACAGAAGTGAGGATTTCACATCCCAGCTATTGATAAGTGAGTTCTTGCCAGACAGGATGCTATCAAAGTTTCCTTTTACATCTTCTAGGCACTTCCCTCTCTCTGGAGGCAATAGGCATTATCAGGACAGGACTATATTCCTAACAGCCCAATAGCACCTTATTTCAATGTGACTAGTTTGGAATGTGAGGATGTGACCAGTCGCTTCCCAGCTTATGGCTGCCTCTGCTGCTTAGCCAAAGGCCTTAGCCTAAGAACAGGGCCTCAGACTGTCACAGTAAGAGAAGGCTCTTACACGGGCAGACAGTGATTTTGATTCTTTCTTTTATACCTCTATAACTAGCCAAGTGATAAGAATACACCCAAATTCTTAGAGTATAGGCCTTTACAGACAGGCCTGAATATCTATATCCTAACATATGGCATTTTATATGACCAAAGCACATGTCCCACTGACTTCATTTATAGCTGAGAGTATTCAGCACTCCTGCAAATTAGATCCCAGAGTCTCAACTCAGGCACCCAGAAAATATAGAACACACTAAATTTGGTATAAGTGACTTGCTCAGCATCACATAAGAACTCTATGGCAAAGACAGGGACAGAATTTAATTCCCAAGGATAGTATTCAACTGCTTTAACCATGAGACCATCCTTTCTCTTCCTGCGTTCTCCTGCCTCATGCACTATACACCTTCCAAATTCTGCTACAAATGATGTAGGTACCTTCAAACAACTGTCCCCTTCCCTGCATAACCTTGATTCATATTCAGAGCATGTCTATTCTGTGAACTGACTGGGGCAGAGGTCCTATGGAAAAAATAGTGTGTGACCACAAAATTAAAGACTGTATCACAGTGCATACTCACCAGGGGGCTGAATTAAGGTTGCACAGGTAACCTTAATTCTGTCATTTCTTAACTTTTGAGTGCTTGACTTCTCAATCTTAATAATGTTCTTTTAACTTATTTTTGTATGTTCGATAATAGTATGTGTTGTAACATCGATACCTCTTCTCCATAATAAAAAGTAATAATAATTTGTTCCTGTTGTAAAATATACTCTGGATTAAAGTAGTATAGCTAAGAATATTAGATAGTTATCATTCTCCTCCACAGAAATCTAGCCAACAGAGACTTCTTAAATTCAGAGAAATTGTATGTCAGAAAACTGGTCTTCTCTTTCAAAACAGAGTGCTTTCCATGAACTTTCCTTGAATAGTTGTTTCCTGGATACCATACTGGACAAATACACAATGTAAAAGGAGCTGTGCTATTGTGTATGGGAGTTGTAATAATCATAAACCTTGTGCCTGGTACTGCAAAGCTGATTAAATATTAGCTTCAACAAAAAGAGAGTGAATTAATGGATGTCTCCATTATTCATTTCCTTCTAAGTAAACAGTAGAGAAAAGGGATACTATAGGCTTTCATTCCAAAAGAAATCGTTGTGAGGATGGGATGATTACTTGTTTCCCCTACATCATGAGCACCATCCATTTTTGACTGTTCTAGTTGACACAGACAGAGGGTCTACTCATTTAGACTCACCTTGGCAAGCTCATCCACCCCACTTGCACTTCTTGCCAACGTTACAAGATCCTCTTGCATTTTCTCCACCCATGACTTTATTCTACAGAAATAAAAAGAGAGAAAGAGACGTCCCATCAGATCAATGGCAAATAGTTACGACTATCACAAACACAAATGCAGGCCAACAGATTATCCTCCAGGAGGCAGATTGATGCCGAAGTTCCCTTGATATTGCCGTGAATCTGCTTTAGACATTCATTCCCTCTCTTTCTCTCATAGAAGCTGTCTGCCGTACAAAAGCCCAACACGGTGAGGAAGCTGTATACAATGACTGATCATCAAAAAAAGGGCAAAAAGTCAGGACACATGAAAATAGTAGTTTAGAGGGCACAAGAGCCTTTCCCCTTGATTGTTGAAAAAGTAACCTGCTTGCTTTTTTGGAATATGCCACCAATATTGAGACATAAGTTAATGTGAATCTCTTTTGTTAGCTCAAATCTAGCCTGGTCTTACACCAACCAATTTTGTTACCATCTGTAGACTGCATGGTGGTCCCCGCATATCCTAGACAAGAGTTCCTGTCACAAAACCCATCACCACAATTAACAGTAACTGACAGCTGCAGCAGATAGGTTAGAGACTGAATGGTATAGAGACTGACTAGCCTCCCAGTTGTATTTTGATTCTAAGCCTTCAAGTGCCAGGTGAACATTTCTGCAGTTGTACCTCTCATAGGGTTGTCTATAGTGGCCAGACCACCAGCTAGCTGAACAATCAAGCATACTGTCAGCACTTATTATTACTATCTATGGTACGGTACCCATGACCCTAGTATACGAGCACATTCTAATCTTTAATGTATTTATTCTCACAAGACTCCTGTGACTTCAGAAAAGCAGACTTTGACTCCCTCAGGGAACTGATGGGCAGGATCCCCTGGGAGGTTAATATGAGGGTGAAAGGAGTCCAGAAGAGCTGGCTGTATTTTAAAGAAGCCTTACTGAGAGCACAAGAACAAACCATCCCAATGTGCAGAAAGAATAGCAAATATGGCAGATGACCAGCTTGGCTTAACAGAGAAATCTTTGGTGAGCTTAAACACAAAAAGGAAGCTTACAAGAAGTGGAAACTTGGACAGATAACTAGGGAGGAGTATAAAAATATTGCTTGAGCATGCAGGGGTGAAATCAGAAAGGCCAAAGCACAATTGGAGTTACAGCTAGCAAGGGATGTGAAGGGTAACAAGAAGGTTTCTACAGGTATGTTAGCAACAAGAAGGTGGTCAGGGAAAGTGTGGGGCCCTTACTGAATGCGGGAGGCAACCTAGTGATGCATGATGTGACGTACTCAGTGCTTTTTTTGCCTTGGTCTTCACAGATAAGGTCAGCTCCCAGACTGCTACACTGGGCAGCACAGTATGGGGAGGAGGTGAGCAGCCCTCTGTGGCGAAAGAACAGGTTAAGGACTACTTAGAAAAGATGGACAAACACAAGTCCAAGGGGCCAGATGCAATGCATCCGAAGGTGCTTAGGGAGTTAGCTGATGTGATTGCAGAGCTATTGGCCATTATCTTTGAAAACTCGTGGCAATCCAGGGTGGTCCATGATGATTGGAAAAAGACAAACATAGTGCCCATATTTTAAAAGGGAAGAAGGAGAATCCTGGGAACTACAGACCAGTCAACCTCACCTCAGTCCCCAGAAAAATCATGGAGCAGATCCTCAAGGAATCCATTTTGAAGCACTTGGAAGAGAGGAAGGTGATCAGGACCAGTCAACATGGATTCACCAAGGGCAAGTCATGCCTGACTTACCTTCTATGACGACATAACTGGCTCTGTGGATATGGGGAAAGTGGTGGACATGATATACGTTGACTTTAGGAAAGCTTTTGATATGGTCTCCCACAGTATTCTTGCCAGCAAGTTAAATAAGTATGGATTAGATGAATGGACTATAAGGTGGATAGAAAGCTGGATAGATCGTTGGATAGATCACTCAACAGGTAGTGATCCACAGCTCAATGTCTAGTGGGCAGCTGGTATCAAGTGGAGTGCCCCAGGGGTTGGTCCTGGGGTCGGTTTTGTTCAACATCTTCATTAAGTTAGCGGATGACACTAAGCTGAGGGGAGAGGTAGATATGCTGGAGGGTAGGGATAGGGTCCAGAGTGACCTAGACAAATTGGAGGATTGGGCCAAAAGAAATCTAATGAGGTTCAACAAGGACAACTGCAGAGTCCTGCACTCAGGATGGAAGAATCCCATGCACTGCTACAGGCTGGGGACTGACTGGCTAAGCAGCAGTTCTGCAGAAAAGGACCTGGGATTACAGTGGACGAGAAGCTGGATATGAGTCAACAGTGTGCCCTTGTTGCCAAGAAGGTTAACAGCATATTGGGCTGCATTAGTAGGAGCATTGCCAGCAGATCGAGGAAAGTGATTATTCCCCTCTATTTGGCACTGGTGAGGCCATATGTGGAGTACTGTGTCCAGTTTTGGGCCCCCCACTACAGAAAGGATGTGGACAATGTGGAGAGAGTCCAGCAGAAGGCAACGAAAATTATTAGGGGGCTGGGGCACATGACTTATGAGGAGAGGCTGAGGGAACTGGCCTTATTTAGTCTGCAGAAGAGAAGAGTGATGGGGGATTTGATAGCAGCCTTCGACTACCTGAAGGGGGGTTCCAAAGAAGATGGAGCAGCCCTAGCTCCAGCAGCCTAGTTCTCAGTGGTAGCAGATGACAGAACAAGAAGCAATTGTCTCACGTGTGTGGGTGGGGGGGTCGTGTAGGTTGGATATTAGGAAAAACTATTTCACTAGGAGGGTGCTGAAGCACTGGAATGGGTTACCTAGGCAGGTGGTGGCATCTCCATCCTTAGAGGTTTTTAAGGCCCGGCTTGACAAAGTCCTGGCTGGGATGATTTAGTTGGGATTGGTCCTGCTTTGAGCAGGGGGTTGGACTAGGTGACCTCCTGAGCTCTCTTCCAACCTTAATCTTCTATGATTCAATGATTCAAAGGCTGAGTGTCACAGTGCCCCACTTTTAGGTGCCTAGAAAGTCACAGGAAAAACTCTATGATCCACAAAGCTGAGTTATGTGCCCTGGCTCCGTATACAATGAACGGGGAAAGAGAGTCGCCTTAGAATGTGATCCAGGATGGAGTAGCAGGGACCACGAAACAGCCCTTCACCCTCCTGCCAGGTTGCCAGAATGGATTTCACCTCCCCAGTTGCTATGCAGAACCCAAACACAGGCACAAGGCAGCTAGTGAGGATTTGACCCAGAGAGATTCTCTCAGCCTTGGTCACAACAGCAGATGCAGAGTAACAACACTGTTGGATGGCTTTGATTCAGCTGAAGCTTCAGCTCTGATCACTAAACAGGAGCTAAGCGAGAAGAGATGTAAATCACTCTGCATAGCAGCTGCACACAGAGCACATGCTTTGGATTTCACTTCAATGCCATGTGAACAAGGTCAAGCTCCTAGGAATATAGATCACAGTCCTTTATTGAACTGGCACAAGGTCATTTTCCCTCCATGTAAGCCAGGGCATTTGTCCCTGTAAGTAGATGTTTTTGTTTCAAATAGGTAGCACTGACAGGCCGGAGAATGCAGCAGTTAAAGTTCCAGAATCGTTGGGGATTATTCTCATTGTACTATTATGTACCGCAAATCAATTGAGGCACATGAATAGGCTGTCTCATTCAGATTTTATTTTTTCATAAACCTTCTCTGTACATGAGCCGTCACCCCACTTGTAACACTACTATCACATCCTGGGGTGCAATATGGGATGAGGAGTTGTATCACCTCTTACCCTGTAAACCTTATGTGCATTAAAAGCTTTGTTACTGTAACTCCCTGCCTGGGATGTTCACAGTCAGCAACTAGCATGCCCTGAGTGGCTGTGTATAACTGCAGCCTTAGTCCAGCAACTCTGAACCCAGCAGCCTGCCAGCAATACGCCAGTCACATTCTCTGTTTTCTACCAGCTTTGGTTACCACTTGGAGGGTGACTCAACACAACCTCAGTTCTGAGGTATTACAGTTCATTTGCTTCTTTAAAGAACCAAAAGCATATTACAGCTTATTAAGGGCTTGTCTACACTTACTAGAGGATTGATGCCATGGTGATCGATGCATCAGGAGTAGATTTAATGGGTCTAGTGAAGACCCACTAAATTGACCGCTGATCACTCTCCCGTTGACTCCTGTACTCCACCTGATCAAGAAGAGTAAGGGGAGTCGACAGGAGAGCATCTCCGATCAACGTCACGTAGTGTAGACCCTGTGGTAAGCAGACCTAAGCTATGTTGATTTGAGTTATGGTATTCATGTAACTCAAATTGTGTAGTTTAGATCGACTTTTCCCTTTAATGTAGACAAGGCTAACTTAACTGGGGTAAATACACTCTTCCCTTGAAGCAGAGCACTGAGTTGGTTTATAGTAAAAATAAAACAAGTTTATTAACAAAAGGACAGAGTTAAGTGACACCAAGTAGGAGGTTAGAAAGGTCTACAAGCACACAAACAAGCAAAATGCGCTTTCTAATGGCTAAGACTAGATCAGAATTCCCCTGGCATGGCCCATACACCACCATCCCACCTGGCATCAGTGTGGTGGGATGTGCAGAGGTGTCCAATGGGCACCAAGCATCCCCTCAGCCAGCAAATGTTCCCGTGGAGAACAATACCAGCTGGTGTAATTGCTGCAGCCCCCACGCAACTCTAATCTATGCTGTGGCCAGAGGCATGGCCAGCACAGATAATTAAGAAGTGGTAACAGCCTCCCTGATGGGTCTTCCTCTGCTGCATGAAGCAGAAACTCTGTGCAGCAAAGAATCTGGGCTGAGATCTTTAAATCAGGAACCCTCCCCACTGCAGTAGTGATGGGAAAGGCAATTTCCTACGGTCAGATGAGATCACAGGTCATCTTTAATTTCTATCGGGTCACCTAACCGATCTCCCTGACAGTGCAGGCTTGGCTCCTCTTAGTCCATTTTCTAGAGCTTTGGCTAGTCTACTTTTCAATGGATTTGCCAAAATTTTCCTTGGAAGACAATGCCACCATCTAATCCCACTGGAAATTCTCTTTCTGA